ATAATCATGACCGCCTTTTATTAAATCATGAGACTGGATTGGCGATAGGTGAATTAGCGAGCCTATTTCCAATATTCACAGGTTTTGTAATAAAAAAAGGGTTTTGTTTAAGGTCCAAGTTAAAAAGGTCGATGCAAAATTTAATACCATTTGCACTAACCCAGTGACATTCCAGTATTGTTACAAATTGATTACATAATATGGTTTTAAAGTTATAATATATTGAAGGCCAACAAACAACTTGGAAATATGATATAAAAAATTGTAATAAACAATCACTGCTAATATGGAAAATATCAAAACAGGCTCCATTTTTTGTCAATAATCTTATCCATATCCATTATAACGCTCTTCGAACCAAGTGACTCTTTATAAAAGGCCACACACACTAACCCTGTGTCATAGGTTATCACCTCAGCCGCTGACGCATCCATTAACCGTGATGGGTTATTACCTGCAGAGTATAATAATATTAAGGTCCGTATCACAAACGCCTGAGTGCCTTTAAACGACCGAGGAATGGGGTAAGAGAGGTGAAAACGAGACCACACACATTAACACGTGAATTGAATATAAATTCAATTTTTAACAAAGAAGTAAACAGAAGAAAACGACACGAAATATTTTAAAATCTTCCTTTTATGTTTCGTCGCCATTTGTTTTTGCAACAATTGTTAAGCAAATTGTTAGTTCTTTTCCACAACGCACAGAAAATGTTTAAGGGCAAGACATTCGCTGTGTTTCACGTCTTCAATCTCCAAACGCACAGCTCAAATTTGTCCAGTTTGCGTTTTGTTGAAAGCACTCTTTCCTTACAAACTGAGCTACCATCACCCGTTTTGGTATAACAACTTCACCCACTTCTCTTTGAAAGAATGTACCAGCCCCTTTTCAAATTTTATAACATTTCTGAATTACCCAGCACAATCTGTTCTTTAACGCAAATACTAATATCTCTTGTTCCAACACAACCCAAATATAGTCACAAAAACGGCTGCATTTATTTTCCTAAATTTCTTTAAATTCAAGAAAAACAGTATCAGTGAATTTTGGGGGGTCATTGGAGTATAATAGAATAAACGGAAAAAAAGTAAGAAATATTAAAACACGAAAACACACTTTCATCTATAAAAGTTCTTCATACAGTGAAATTCCCAATAAATCTTGAGGAAGTTGATCATAGTTTAAATTCCCAAATAAATGTTGCATCAATCACTTGATATTTGTGGCTCGTAGTATAACAGTCATGTGTAATGTACGGTGTGATGTGAAAACGATACAAAAAGGGAATAATAGTCAGTTGTCAAATCTTTAAATCCATTATAAATAGGAGTTTTTCCCCTTTGCATGATCATTTTTTCGAGTCTTTTTTAGAACCCTTTGGCGGACTACCTTTGACACCCTCCTTTCCTTTTGGCACTACAGGAAAACATAAGCCACCCATAAGTTTGTTGAACTCTGTAAAAACAAATACATTTTGTGCATAAGAATAAGACATCAAATTTAGATACTTTGCAATGACGGGAGACAAGGTGGCTAAGTAAGCAAGACCCTGGCTCGCTAGTTAGGAGGTCGCCGGTTCGCTCCCAGTGTTACCCGAGAAAATTCATCAGGATTTTCCGGCGTGGTTTCCCCTTGTCAGTGGAATAGGATGAAGGGCCCGACAAGGACTGCTGTCTAGTCGTTCGTATGGGACGGAAAACCGAGGTCCAGTGTATACATTGCCGTGCATGTAAAAGATCCCTTTCGATATAAAAGTAGGCCAAATTTCCATCACAACACACTGTATGGCGTATGCCCGTCTTTATTAGTCCCGTCGGAGCAGAATAGTAGGACGTTAAACCCCAATTCATTTCATTTCACTTTTCAATCACATTTAGTTACTGGATGGTCGAAGCTCTAGCCTTGACTATATTTGGTCCAGAGCCGATAAGGTAGTTGGGGACATAAAGCACAGGAAGTTAAAAGTACGTTTTATAATTTTCTATTATTATTGCTGTGTCATGTATTGCTGTAGGCAGGTAGGGTAAGTGTGTGCGACACAGTTTGAGCAATGATTAAACGTTTGGACAAGAGGTTTCAGGTTCATTCCCGGTGTTCCTCGTGATTTTCCAGCACGGGTTTCCCCCGTCAGTGGCCCTGGGCGGAGGGCATTGCAAAGACAGTGTCTAATCGTTTGGACGTCCAATGTACACGTTGACGTACACGTAAAAGAACACTTGACAGTTGGAGGTCGATATAAGGTCGTAGCGTCTTCATTAGCCTAGTCGATGAAGAAAAGATGGACGCTAAACCCCGTATCATTTCATTTCATTTTGTTTTTCACTTTATGAGAAAATAGCCTGGATTAAAAGAATCTTATTTCAACTCACCATCGTAATCGATCAACCCATCGCCATTAAGATCAGCCAGATGGAACATGGCCTTAACATCTTCTTCTTCTAAATTTTCACCCAGTCGCCTCATAACATACCGTAACTCATGTTCATCGATATATCCATTACCGTCCATATCAAATACTTTAAATGTTTCTTTTCTCCTATCTTCGTCTGATAGTTCGGGTTCAACCACGGCAGCAGCACCACTCGCTGACGGATGAGTCGTTGACCATCTTTTCATTAATTGTAGGAATTCGTCATATTCTACGTAGCCATTTTCTGAAATAAAAAACCAAAATGTGATTACTAACAATTATATAACAACATATATTTCTTATTACATCATTTCAATAATTCGCTTGCGCGTAGGGGTCTTTAGCAGTGGGAGGAAACCGGAGGACCCGGAGAAAACCCACGAGGTTGGAAGGACTTGAGCGCGGTGGTAGGAATCAGTATAACTCCCAAAATGCCGATAAATCAAATATCAACATAAGAATAAAATTAGAAAAAAGTTACTTGGAATATCCCCCCACGTTTTTGTTTACGTAACGTTTATCATTCTCCAAGAATACTGCTGGTGACCTGAGGTGGTGCAGGAATATTTACTCCGTGTCAGGAGGTATTGTCAAGAATGTGGTCTAGAACTCGGGCATTCGTATAACCCACACGACTATCGTGTGTTTTCCGTTAAGTGCGCTAGACAACTATTTTGTACTGAAGTTTTACCCAAATTTTAATCGAGAAATGAAAAAGAATAATACTCTTAACAAAAAATATAATCACTTTCTTTAATGGATTGTAAATATTTTAGAGAGAGAGAGAAATGGGGTTTAACGTCCACTCGCCACAAACTAGGTCATTTCGGGACTAACACATGGTTTCATTTTATTTCAATAAATCGCTTGCACGTAGGGGTCTTTAGCTGTGGGAGAAAACCGGAGGACCCGGAGAAAACCCACGAGGTTGGACAGACTACCCTACTCCTTGTCACGTACAACCGGGGAATCGAAACCCCGCCAGCTGACTCAATGACAGACCGTATGATACAGCGCACGCGTGCTAACCATTCGGCCATCCAACCCCCCGTAAATATTTTAGACGTAGAAACGGATTAAAATTTGAGTAAAGAATCAGCTGGGTAAAACGCAGCTTGTTTGGCTCGTTATTACCCGGTATGATAGAAATGAAATGGGGTTAAACGCCCCACTGTTGTGCTCTGACTGGGTTAATGAAGACCGGCACACGCCATACAATATGCTATGAGGGAAATTTTGCCCGGACAGCGGTGTTACGACCTACTCTTATATCGAATTTCAACAGCCAAAGTTTCTTTTACGTGAACGTCAATGTGTACACACGACCTCGGTTTTTAGTCCAATCCGAACGACTGTACGTTTTCCCTTACCAGGTCGTCTGTACTGCACAACTACGGTATGATAGAGTATTGGATAAATACGCCTCTTTCAATAATATCACGTAGAGTAGATCAACATACTTAAACTGTACTGTTTTATCAATTACAGAAGAAAAATCAAGTTTATCTCAGGTCAGAGCAACTTTTATGGTTATTAAATCACGAATCGATGGAGATAAAGACACCATAACAAGGCCAACGACTGATAATAAGTAAATAAAACACTTATTAGACACGCCCTGTAGTAAGTCTGCCAAATATGTTGAGGTATATTAAGTGGTTCATCAGGGATGTGTCTTGTTAGCGATGGGGTTCAATAGATACGGTATCTCTAAGGAACGTTGGTTTCAAACGCAACATGATTTACCGCATTCAGCATCACAAATGGGAATTTGCCCAAAAGTTCAACAGATTCCTAATGCGTTTTTAAGTTTGCCTCGACTTTTATTTTAGTTAAAATTTGCAAATTCCATCCCCGATTCTCCACCAAATGAATACTAGTATAAAGTATAAGTTTAAAATGTCCAAGAATGTAAATAAATGCATCCAAACGTGCATACAGATCTGAATTCCAACCGAGCACGTCAGTATGTACAATAGCTTTTCGTTTCATTGAACTGGGCGAATGTTCCTTGTTAGCATCATAGGCATCACCTCTGCAGTGGGAACTGGGCTTTAAAAAATCCTTAAGGTTCTTCCCGAATTCTTGTTGAGAGTCCATTCAGAGACGAGCATTATCGATTTGTAACTAACAGTAATACATTAACAGTTAAACAGATTTGTAAATAGTCATTCTTTAGCGCGCCATTTAAACAAAAAGACCGTTTATTAGCAATAAAAAATCATTATGATGTCTGTGGGCTATTTATATGTGACAATTTAATATTCAATAATAGACACAAGACTATATAATTATTATACATGAGAACAACTAACTGTACTGTTTATATTACTTAAATCAAATAATTAACATCACATCGACTGAATATGCAATTTGGAATTAAACCAAATAAAATATTCTTGCTGCTTCCACTGAATAGAATTGTTCTCCATTTCGTACGAGCAATTACGTCGAAAATTTTAAATTATGAAAGCCCAAAATGATAATCATCACAAGAGACGGACAAACAGACGGGTTTCCATAGTATTGATTAAGGGAAATAACTTATCGGAATGAAATGAAGAGGGGATATAACTCACCATTTGTATCTGCATTTTTAATCATTTCATCTATTTCTATAGCTGTATAATCATGCCCTAGCGTTCTTAATACACAGCCTAATTCCTCACTAGATATTTTTCCATCCTGATTTTTATCAAATAAATCAAAAGTTTGTTTTAATTCTGAAAATATAAAATAGATAATCCATAATATAATTGAAGCAAATGTGGGCGGCGGATTGTTTATGTGCAATAAATCGACATGTGGAGTCGAACATGACAGACTATTCGAACTTCTCACACACAAGTAACCTGTTTCTCAACTTTATTATATTATATTATATACATGTACATAATTTTAATACATGCCTAAATTATCCCCAAATGAATATAATTATCTATGAATGTATCTAGAAATTGTGCCATTTTCTTAGCAACTCTAGTTGAGTACCATAAAAATGATGTTCTTAACAACATTTAAAATGCTTATCAAACCATTAACATCACAATTACTCGCCTAATAATCACATTAGAGCTGCCCCTTGAAGGTCATTCTTATAAAATTGCGCAATTACATAAGTCGAAGAAATATATCATGGTCTCTCATCGCCATCTTAGCAGTAACGGATTTTTGATGCACAACCTCTAACGCGTTTCAATTCTACAATCAATTTCTCGAGTCTAGCTCTTATCTCGTTCTTAACTGTCTACAGATTGCAATGATTACTTGTTCTATTTAGTGGAAAACTGTAGGCCAGTTATTGGAATTTAAGGGTAATATTGCTTAAAGCGTTGTTTGAAAAATACACTGACGCCATGGATAACACATTGCTGTACCTATTAAAATATATCACTAAAGCAGTATTTAAAGCAGGGATTAGTTTCCAATTTAACTCATCATAGATTAGTCTCACACTAGCCCTAGGACTGCTTTACGCCCATGGTTTATAAGCCTATTACACCCACAGAATGTTTCGTGAAGTAGAGGAATAGGAACGGGTATGATCGTGATCAGTTTCTAACAGATTACTCGAATATCACGTAAATTTTGTTTGAATACCCTGAAGATTACGCAAATATTAAATGACCGATCACTTGAATATCAAGTAACTTTAATTAATTGTATCTATCAGAACACTATGTTACATGTTTCTTGCAAATACTGAAAGACCAGGTAAGTTTGCATAGCTAATAAACCTTTATTGTACTTTTGTCACCAATTACATTTCGGGCAAAACATCGAAAGTTCACACGTTCTGTTAGTTGTTTCCAACAGAACACTCCAAAACCATGTGTAGTTAGAGGTTTCCAGCAGAACATCCAAAGAACAAGAAAGTTTTTTATTGTATAATACCAGAAGATCGAATAAGTTCGGTAAAAAGTTCTAGCAGAACATCCGCCGATTAAAAAAGTTCGGTTGAAAATTTCTAGAACATCTGAAGATGAAAGAAATATGTTCGCTCACCAGTAACATACTGATAACGTAATCGATGAACACAAAACCCCTCAAATTAGTTACTGTGGATCAATTGTGGAGATTTTAATAAAAACATTTCAAGCTTCATTTAATTTTGTTTTAGCTAAGAACCATACTCTCCACAGTATGAAAATCGACATAATATGCATGTTTCTTAACTAATATTATATTCCCACTATCACGATCGTGGTTTTAATCGTGGAGTAATCATGGTGATCCTATCGGGTCTTATCATATATTGAGGTCAGTCGTAGCAATCGTGTTGATCGTATCCGAACGCACACCAGATCGTGGACTCATAGGGACAATCCTGTCGTAGAGCATTACACGACAGTGGGAACCCAACATTAGATAAAACAAACCTTACAGATTCTCTTCGTTTTAGCCAAAAAAGCGGTTCGGTTAGTTCGAGTAAACTGTGTTCGCGGTGCCCGAGGGTTCTTTACCCGGACTAGAACTTCAACTTAAGCGAACATACAACCCTACACAACTTGCCGATGAAAGGCATTGATCGACGATAATTAAATTGTTCGACTTCAGGCCAAGTTAAACCCCCTCAAGTAACAATTTCCTCAAAATATCAATAAAACAAATAGACAGAAAATCAAGTAAACCCCTTCATGGGATTACGTCTATTGAGTGCAGAGAAATCATCAAAATAACCGACTAACATAGTCCTCAAACGACTTTAAACAGTGGAAATAACACAAACCTTAATGAATAGGGGTTACCAAGCCATGATTCAATATATATATATATAATGTTAATTTGATGCCGACAGCAAAGTTTGTTCGAATCACGGCCTTCTAAATATTTCAAGAGATAAACGAATTTCTTGATGTAAATCGACAATAATGTCGTACCCAATGTAAGCACATTCTAGAACGGATGTGGTCATTAACGGGCAAACGAAATGAAATAAAATATGAGAAATATGAGAGAGAGAGAGAGAGAGAGAGAGAGAGAATTTTAGGAATCCATGATTAAAAAAATTTTTTAACGTGTCAATGTGAATACAATCTATATATGCTGTTCTAATTTTCTGTATACATTTAATTTTATAGATAGGTTGCCAGGCAACGCAACATACACAAGCTAAGCAGTCCAGGCGGTCAATACGTATTGTCGCATATTGTTTCTTTTGTCGGTAATGAAAATCTTTACAGCACACTAAAATCTGATTAGGAGTAAACAACATTAAGTAATTATCAGAAATTACTAGAATTTGGTTGGTTTCTAGTTCTGCCCCATGCTAGAGTTTAGTACACAAAACATTCAATATCATGAATTCAACTGTTCTATTTATCAGAAATCGTTGAAAATCAATAAACTTCGTCGTCTCATAATCATAAAAAGTAAATCGGATAAATTTTGCCTCGAGAGCATCGACATTTTTCGAAATAATCGAAAATCGTTGGCAATGAAAGGGCTGCTTCGTCTCAAGACCTTAAACACTGTGTAAATTTAAGGTCAATTACTTTAGCCCGAGCGTCCACAATCGGACGGACGGACCGACGGATAATATAAGCCCTGGCCAATTTAAACTTGACTGGACGTAACTGAAATTGGTAGTCAAAAATGAGATTGAGTTTAAGGTTGTCTTGACGGAAGTTGTTCATAATGAAGGAAAGGCGAATAACTAAAAAATTACCACCTCTTGAAATGAACAACGTTGGGTTAAACGATCGAGCTTCTTTTACAAGTATCAATCGTACAAGAAATTGACAACAACGATCACAATGGCGCCTCATCTGACAACAATAGGAAAGTAATTATCTCAACTTTTGACTGTCATTAAATATTTATTATAAGGATAAGGCTAATCGTCGTTTAGGGACGTAGAGTAAAGACGGATTCTAAATTGTTTTTGTTAAAGCCAACGGCAAGTCATTTATCAATGCGCCAGTTTCGCACATTAAGACGGACCTGGGTCCATTTTGGAATGTAACTTTTTTTTAAATATCTAGCAATTATCTACCTTTATATGTTACAGAACGACGCGGATTTCCAATTAGAATAATCCCCAACGAGTAAAACAGGCATGGCATACGAACCGTTAATGAAAAAAAAAAAACCAAAAAAAAAAAACCAAACCAAAAAACAACCCCCCCCCCCAAAAAAAAAACCCCCCATATATTTCTGTTAATTGAATCAGTGTATTTTAAATTTATGACTGAACTATATATATTGATAACGATAAATAACATTCACCATAATTCTTGAAATGCAATTATAGCCATTAAACATACATTATGCAAGAGCTAAATCTGCCTATTGCAGGTCTTTCTTTAGACCTGAAATGCTATCTAAATTATTAATTAGACATTAATTAACTTATCCAGACCATAATCAACTCTCGATGGCATCGCTAGCCTGCGATGTTTATTGGATTAGGTTCGATTTGCTGTTCGACTTCCATTCATATTTTAATCATGAAATGGATAATCGAGACTATGTTTTTTATCCTACCGACTTTAGTAATGATGATCGAGGCTAGGCCTAAAATTCAATCTTAAAATCTCGGTTCATAGTGGACCAATTTGACTGAAATTTTCAGCAAATTCCCTTTACAGTATCTGGTTCTTAACTATTTTAGTGAGAACTGCCAGCTCTTTATCTAATCTCCCATAATGTATCTCGGTTCATAGTGGATCAATTTGACTGAAATTTTCAGTAAATTCCCTTTTACAGTATCTAGTTCTTAACTATTTAACTGAGCTGCCAGCTCTTTATCTAATCTCCCATTATGTATCTTTGAGCAGTAGGTGTTAAATTTTAATTAAGGTCCAGTCATGTGGTCCAGGAGTAAGAACTGAAATGAAATGGGATTTAACGTCACACTGTATACCCCACCTAGTGTGCTACGCGGGAGATTTAACCAATTCCAAATACCAATGGTTCGTTAACGTCCGCGCCAACGAGTACAAGGGTGTGCATTACAGTTAGCTCTTCACGACAATCATACATCGATATTTTATAATCTACCAGCAATTAATCCCGCCCCAGCTTCGATTAACAATTAGGAACTTGATAATCAATTCTTTTCGTGGAAGTCTTTCACAGCGAAAAGTCCGAAACAGCTTCACAATTATTGACTAATCAAAATGGTTCTAGATCTAAGCGGAGATATGTAGTACCTAAACTACGATGGAAGTCAAGGAAACCACAGAGGAACCATGAGTGGTTCTGTTTTTGGCCAGCTTCCTGAGTCTACTCTCTACGAATCTACGCACCACAAAACAAATCTAGTACAGATGATGCAGGCTTTATGTAAAATATATGTAGACTGGTGGTAGAGATGAGAAGGAGAATCAGAGTGCTCAAATAATCCACAATAAGACGTGTCTGATACTACTATTAGAGAACGTCATTACTACTGGAAATCTCATCTTATTCTGATTTATATTCGTGTCTTTTACTCTGGTTCATTTGATACACGGAAGATTCCATATACACGTAATTTCAACAAACAGCCAATACGCTCAGCCTAGTAGTCATTCGTGTCTACACTCGGCAATCCAAGTCATACTACCTTAAAAGTTTATTTTTTAAAAATGTGATTGGCCACTTCTTTTATTACCACTACTGGAAAACCAATTTAAGACAATGGAATTATTTAGTATTTGTGTATAATCTAACTAATTCATCATGTTGTTCTGCCTTTGATCGTTCTTGGTACGTCTAGCGTCATATATATTTTCTGTGA